CTATAGTAGTATTAGTAGTATTATATCAAAAGTATCAACGGGCGGAGTCTAAACCCTTTATGGAAGCAGTCATGTTTTTGAAAAGTGCCAAGACTCTTCTCTTCTTGACCTTTCCACTTATCACTTTCTAGGATATGCTGGACAATGCCGGAACTGGCGCGGTCAATCTCCCGCTCATGGACCTCGACATTGAAACTTCCTAAGTCCTCATTCCCTCCACGCGCGTCGCCTATCGATCGGACACAATACCTAAAAAGATGCACCGATGATCTCTACGCCTGGCAACGCCGCGAAAGGCCCGCCGACCAACCATTCGTCCTGCACGACGGTCCACCATATGCGAACGGTGACCTCCATGTTGGACATGCGCTCAACAAGATCTTGAAGGATATCATCTGTCGCGTACAATTGGCTCGCGGGAAGAGGGTGCGGTACGTGCCAGGCTGGGACTGCCATGGACTGCCGATCGAGCTCAAAGCGCTCCAAGGCCTGCGCGACGCGGACGTCGCAAGTGGATCGGTCAGCGCGGCGGTTATTCGCACATCCGCAAGGCAATTGGCAAGACAAACTGTGAAGGAACAGATGAAAGGGTTCCGTGGGTTCGCGGTCATGGCCGACTGGGAGAACCACTGGAAGACCATGGACAAACAATTCGAGACGCGACAATTGGGTATCTTCCGGGAAATGGTGGACCGAGGCCTCATCTATCGAAAGTTCAAGCCGGTTTACTGGTCGCCTTCATCGGGTACCGCTCTTGCGGAAGCAGAACTGGAATACAAGGATGATCATATCTCGACCGCCGCCCTCGTCAAGTTCCCTCTTGTCGATATCCCTACATATCTCTCGGATAACCCTCTTCTCCGTGGAAAGGATCTGAGCGCGGTGATTTGGACCACTACCCCCTGGACGCTGCCTGCCAATGCTGCCATTGCAGTAAGCGGGTCTTTGGAATACACTATTGTCTTGTCGGAAAAACATGGTCATCTTCTTATCGCCCAATCGCGGTTCGAGTACCTCCAGAATATGCTGAAAGAAGATCTCTCTGTCATTGTGCCGTCTATCCTAGGGTCCGAGCTAGCAGAGAAAACTACGTATCGACCTCTATTCAAAGGACCCGAAGCTCTGCCGCAGCCCATCTTCGCCGCGGACTTTGTTACTGCTGATTCTGGCTCTGGTATGGTTCACTGTGCGCCTGGTCATGGAATGGACGACTACGAGGCATGTCTTGCACGTGGCATCCCTGTGTTCGCTCCCGTCAACGATGAGGGCAAATTCACCGATAAAGCTATGCCCCTCGATCCTACTCGTTTAACCGGAAAGCCTGTCTTGGGAGAAGGTAACGCCGCAGTGTTGGAGTGGGTCGAATCGTGTGATCAGTTGCTTGCCCAACACAAGTACGAGCACAAGTATCCTTACGATTGGCGTTCGAAGCTTCCGGTAATTGTTCGGGCAACCGAGCAGTGGTTTGCCGATGTGGCCGATATCCGCAGCAGTGCTCTTCGAGCGTTGCAAGATGTCCAGTTTGTTCCCGAGAGTGGAAAGCAACGACTCGAGAATTTCGTGAAAAACCGGAGTGAATGGTGTATCTCGCGACAGCGCGCGTGGGGTGTTCCGATTCCTGCAATTTATCACCGGACCACTGGAGAGCCGGTCTTGACCAAAGATAGTGTTTCACATATTATGGCCACAATTGAAGAGCGGGGAATCGATGCTTGGTGGACCGACAGTGCGGATGATGCTGCATGGATTCCTCCGTCCTTACGGGACGAGCCTGGACCGGGGTATCGACGTGGAACGGACACTATGGACGTTTGGTTTGACAGTGGTACCAGCTGGGCCGAGATCGATGTTCCTATGGAGGGACGGAGTCATCCAGCCGACGTGTATCTTGAAGGTACCGATCAGCACCGTGGTTGGTTCCAGTCCGGGCTTCTCACGTATATCTCACACCAGCTCGGGTCGGGTCAATTCACAACGCCTCGTGCGCCATTCAAGAATCTCATCACCCACGGTTTCACCCTGGATGAATATGGGCGGAAAATGAGCAAGTCCATTGGCAACGTGCTCCTCCCGCAGACGATCATGGACGGAACTCTGCTGCCTCCTCTCAAACCCCGCAAAGGCAAAGGAAAGAAGCGACCTGAGAACCCAGAACCCGTGTACGACGCTCTTGGCCCGGATGCGCTTCGCATGTGGGCGGCGAGCAGCGACTACACGCGCGACGTGGTGATTGGAAAACAAGTACTCCAGACCGTCAACACCAGCCTCCACAAGTTCCGTGTCACCTTCAAGTTGCTGCTGGGTGCCCTTGCCGATTTCAATCCGGAGAACGTTGTCCCATACGGGCAGCTGCAGCTTGTCGATCGAATTGCACTCAAGCACCTCTCGGACATGGTACTCGCATCGCAGAAGGCATGTGACAACTTCGAGTTCTACAGGGGCGTGAGTACGATGAACCGGTGGGCCAACCTCGAGTTTTCTGCATTCTACATGGAAGCGATCAAGGACCGACTCTACACCCTTGGTGAGGACAGCACGAGTCGCCGGGCCGCACAAACGACCTTATTCTACATCTACAATCATCTTCAAGAGGCGCTGGCTCCCATCACACCAGTGCTTGTGGAAGAGACATGGGAATATACCCCCGAGTCTATCCGCACCCAATCCGAGCACCCCCTGCAGCGTATTATTTCCGCCCCGTCTCCGGAGTGGCAGGATTTAGCCCTGGACACCAGCTACCAAGAGCTCACGGTGGTCCACTCCGCCATCAAGAACTTGCAGGAGCAGGCCCGTAGCAAAAAACAGCTTGGCTCCTCCTTGCAATCATTTGTCCATATTGTGCTTCCCAGCAGCTCTGGATTATTCCAGCAGTATCTGTCAGAGCTCCCTGATCTCTTCGTTGTGTCTTCCATCACCCTGTCATCCCACAATGAAGCTCTCCCGACCGAGATCAAAGATGCTGAATGGCAATATGAGGAGACATTTGAACTTGATGGCCAGCCAGGCAAAGTGTATGTGTACGCGCCACAGGCCTCCAAGTGCCCACGGTGCTGGCGGTACGCCATTCCGCAGCCGGTGGCGATCGAAAATGCGATCTGCGACCGGTGTGAGACAGTAATGCATGAGGCAAACACCTAGATCGATGTGCAAGTCTGTATACTTATTTTTATGTATTATATTGATCATCTCCATAGCCGCAGTGATTGGACATAGCAGCCAATTTAAAAACTGCAGTGCAACCAATAATCTAGAACATCAAACATATTAAAAACCAAGCTGAAAGACAACTAAATTAATTAAATCTATTAACTCCCATGTAAGACTACACGGGGTGTAGTGGTATAGGCTATGACGACAGTATCCAGTCAATGACGGTTGTCCCCAATCATCCCCAAATCCTGCTTTGATGCATTGAATCGTCATACCATTCATATACTCTTGCTTTTGCTCTTTTACTCTTTTTCTTCTACAACATCTTCTTCAGCTCAGCATGATTCAACCTCCATTTGATCAGTTTGCTACTCCAACGGCGCCCGCCACCACATCCTCAGTGGCGCCTATTCCCACTGTCATCCCGGGATCTGAGGTCTACCAGGAACTTCATGATGTGGGCAAGCGGACTCTATGGTAAGTACATTATGTATTCAAATGCCTAATTTATTCTTAACATTATAGGGTTGTCACTGTGTTGATGGGCATCTCCTCATTGGTGTTCTATACTCTGGCTGCTCGTGCTCCTCTGGTGAGTTCACCTATCGTCTCTATAGCCTATACCCTCTCTCCTATAATTCATAGATATCTGACATCCACCCCAGTCTAAGCGAGTCTTCCACATTCTGACGTCCCTTATAACCACCATCTCCTTCATAATCTACCTAGCCCTTTCAACTGGCCAAGGCATAACAACCAAACATGTCACAATCCACGAACGCCACAAGCATGTCCCAGACACCGAGACAGACTACATCCGCCAGGTCCTATGGCTGCGCTTTGTAAACTGGGCACTAGCAACACCACTTCTCTTCATCAACTTCGCCCTTCTATCCGGCCTACCAGGCGCAAACCTACTCATTGCCGTTGTCGCCCACCTGATCATGCTTGCAACAGCTCTATTCGGCATATTTGCAGGCCACGGCCGCGAGCGCTGGGTCTGGCTGACCCTCACGTGTATCTCCTACCTTGTCGTGATCCACCATGCAGGCTTCCACGCGCAGCGAGCGGCGAAGGGCAAGGACGCCCAGACAAGACGGTTCTTCGGGTCTGTTTCTGGCTCTGGGATTGCTATGCTAGCGCTCTTCCCTATGTGAGTTATATATACAGAATAGCATTGCTGGGTTGGATGAGGGCGGATGCTAATATCGAGTAGTACTCTCGCCGCTGGTGCTCTGGCGCTTAGATTGAGCGTTGATACGGAGACTATCCTCTTGGCTATACAGGATCTCTTTACGCAAGGTATCCTTGGATACTGGCTTCTCTTTGCTCAGGAGGGCACCCCTGGAATGTGAGTTTCAACCTAACGTCTCTATGGCATCCCATGCTAATTGCTGCAGTGTGCTTTACATGGAAGGATTCTGGTCCCATGGTGTCGGCAATGAGGGAGCTATTCGTATTTCCGATGAAGAGGGTGCGTAAAGAAATGACTTTCCACTTACATTCAGATTGGAATTGAGGCGATATGATATTTGTTCTCTCTTTCTTTGACTATCGGATTTCTCACTTGCGGACCAGTTTCACCTTTCCCTCAGCTTCATTTGAGGTTCGATATGAGGTGAGGTATGAGATGAGCATGATGATATCGATATTCTGACTTGGCCCTACTATCTTACATTTTATTTATTCCGTACTCTCTACATAAGAAGCAAGAATGACTTGGACAATGTTTTTTTTTTTAACTCATACACAATCGAATGATAGTATTTTCCTAGCAGCACGCTCACCAGAACCTCCTGGGGAAGACTCTGGTGAGCGTGCCGACGCTGACGGACACCGACACCGTCCGTTCACATCCTCGAGGCCCCCAGGCCTCTCACGGCAGCGGTGAGCTCGGCAAGTGCCTCCTCACCGAGCTCCTCGATGGAGTTGGCCCCGGAGGGCCCGTCCCCGCCCCGGGCAACTCCGAACTCGTCCGAGTGACGAACTCGGACGTCTCGCTGAGCGCGAGACAGCCAGAAACCGCAGTCGATGCAGTCCTTCTTGAAGTGAACCTCCTCGAGGTTCCCGAACCACATCGCGAAGGCGGCCCCGTCCACGGCGAAGCCGGTCAAGGTGAGATGCTTGACCGGCAGGTAGCGGGGGACGGGGAAACCGGTGCCGTGGGCCAGTACCTTTGCCTTCTCAATGCAGCACTTGTCAAGGTACTCGCCGTACCCAATCTTGGTGCTAATTTCTCCGTCGCCTCGGCCACTGCAGGTCAGTCAGGTTAGCATATGTCACATCTTTTGGCTGTCGCATAGCTCCCAGTTTGGTACAACTTACTAGTAAACGGGCGAGGCCCACGACTTAATGTTCATTACCCATCCCTTCTTGATAGGCTTCCAGCCACTTGGGCCAACTGGATTCTCAATGTCCAAGCCCACTGCCATCTCGAGCTCGAGAGTGACGAGCTGGGGGTTCAACCAAACCGCCTGCCAGATCACAGGCTGGTAGGACTTCATCATACCAACTAGCTTTAGAACGCGCAGGTTGCGGAACTCGGTCAAGGGCCACATCTGTTCCAGGGTGAGAATGGTGATTTTGATCTCATCCTCTGGTTTCTTGGCGGAGTGGTGGGTAGCCTGGTCGTCGGTGGCGGTCTCCCTGATCGCACTGGGACTATACAGGTTCCAGTTATGGACGGTGGCCTTGCCTTCGGCATTCTTGGTGCCGGTGGCCAGACTTCCGGTAGCAGAGCTCTCAATGTCGAGGTCCATCATGGAGGATCTATCAGTCGCAGGGTTGTCATTGGTGGTCTGCTCCTCGGTAGCACACTTCGTGTTGATACCGGCCTGCTCAATGGTGGCTTGCTCGGCAGCAGATTTCTTCAAGATGGGCTCATTGCCCTCAGGTGTAGCAACAGCCTTCATGGTATTGTCAGTCTCGACGGTGGCCTTGTCAGTCGCCAGATGGTCGCCGGTGGTCAGCTCGTTGGTAGCACACTCCATGCTAACATCAGTCTCGGCAGTTCCCTTGTCGGTGCCAGAACCCTTAATGTCAGGTTCAGTCATGGTGGCCTTGTCGACCACAGTGATGGTTTTTTTTATGGAAGCCCTGATGGTGGAGTCAGTCATAATAGCTCTGTCGACCATCATGACCTCGTCGGTCATGGTACCTTTATCGATAGTGTGGTCATCGTCGAGATCAATAAGGCTCTCGGGGGGGACCTTGCGAGCATCGAAAAACATGTTCAGTTTCAGGACCGACTTGGTGCGGGAGATATTATCCCAAGTGCCGCCGTTATTGAGGTAAGCCATCAAGCTGATGCGAGAAATGTGAGCTGAGTGAGGAGTGGGCACAATTTCAGGGCGAGGCTCACTTTGCCGTTCAAGCCACTCTTGGAAACTGACAATGCTGAGCTGGTTAGGGACTCTAGGAAAAGGATGGAAGTCCTCAGGGGCGTTGGGGGGAGCGATATCCAAGTCGGGAGCAGAAGGTCCTTTGTAGAGAGAACGAAAGGCAGGACGGGGAGGGTTGGGGATGGGAGGAAGAGGAGAATCGGGGGGAAGGAAAGTCGAAGGAGACAGGATTGAAGGACGAGTAGGCTTTTGGAGCTCAACAATGCCTGCAGTCGACGCGAGGATGGGGCCTCGGCGCTTGAGACTGAGAGACTTAAATGAGGGAAGTTTTGGAAGGCGTAAGCTACTCTTCTTTGAACTCTTCTCACTCTTTGCAGGACTCTTCTCAGGTGAGGTCGTGGTATCACTTCCTGAGGGGGACGGGTGAGCGGTGTCCCGAAGTCGCAGATTATTCAAAGAAGCAAGATGGGAGAGTTGAAAGCGACTCTTCTTCCTCTTAGGACTGGTCTCTGGGGAACTCGTGACAGCAGTTTGAACAGGGTTCTTAGAAGGTGACTGAGCGGGACTCTGAACGGTTAGGGCTAAGTTGTGATAATGACATTAGCACGAAGTATATATCAACGGGCACGCTTGCCGGTAGGGTTGTAAGGCATTCAATAGAACAATGACCCAGCATATGTAAAGACATACCTTGTGTCTCACTTCTAGCAAGCTCCTCACCACGTTTAGTCGCATCTTCCCAAAACTGTATTCCGAGAAGGCTGTTCTCCCAGTGCTCACGCATTGCACGCTCATACACGTTATCCATAATGATTTTTGGATCGATAATGATGGAAAACAGATGAAAGCAACCATCAAAAGGATGGAGAGGGATGGGAGGACTGTAGGATGAGAGGAACGAGAAGTCAGAGGGTGAGGAAAAGGTACATCTCTTGAGAACACTTCAAGCATGTGTTCGTCGCATGAACGAGCCCTCAAGGTAGGTACCATTCGCCCATGTGTAGCTCTCGCCGGGATCGAGATCGAGGGCTCCGGTTCAAATCTGCGCGCTCGCTCTTATATTTTCTCTCGGCGCCGTTAAAACATTCACATTGTTTATAAAACCGCACACTAAACGAACTTGCATGGCTCGCTTTACTATCATTCTGTATCTCCAAACCCGGAGTGAAGCGGACCATGATAAAGAGAATCAATTACCTCTACGAAGGCTACAATACAGCCCTTAGCTTGACTGGTCCAGTCTTCCGACAGAAGTCCCCCACGAGGCAGACGAGGATACCCCCGATGATGCCTTCAAGTACGAGAATACCATATTCCCGTGTCTAGTACATACGTGGTCTAACCTCTAATTGAATAAGCTGTGGGATTGGCTTATCTAGGGATTGGGAAGGGGCAAGAGGGTGTTGCATGTGTTTTGCCTTTTCGCGAATGTAGAGATCAACCTTTATATCACTGGCCATAATGCAGACTTGAAGCCGAAGTAGTAATTTTAGGATCTTAGACCTTAGGAGTCCTGAGCGGCTTGTACAAGAAGAACGTCTTTTTGTGTAGATTCTGCAGGAACAGAAAATAAACTAGCTGTCTTAGATACAATAGCATCTTGTAAACTCTTGTAATGAACTAGTCAAGAAGAACATAAAGCAGGTTGCAATCAGAACCCATCGCGGGTTACGAAATAGATATGCATCCCAATCTAGGATCAGGTCACACAATCTTAATATCAGACCGACCCGTCAAAGGCACATCAACATGAAGCACTAGCTTCTTATTCTCGGCATCGTATTCGGCATCACGGAGTCCCTTCGGCTCATGCTCCACGCCAAGAAGAGTGATAGCCTCAATAGGGACGCCAGCCTCGTACTCAAACGAGCCAGTCATGCTGAGCTTGCCGCGCGCGTACTTGAAGTCAATCTCCGACACGGTGTCCTGCACAACCGACTGGCCGTCGTCGAGGTACAGCGAGCCCTCGGCGGAGCCATCGAGACCGGGCGCAATGACAATGTTGAAGCCCTTCTTGCGCAGCGCGGCGGTGGTGTTGGCGCTCTCGATGCGCTGCGGGTAGACAATGCCGCCCTTGTAGTGAACCGTGATGTCCGTGTAGTCGACCTCGGCAGAGACGTACTCGCCACGCCCGCGGACGGGCTTGCCCGTGCCCCATTCGTAGAAGATGTCGTCGGGGAGGTAGTAGTTAACGCTCGTGCTGTTCTCCTCTGTGACAGGGCTTACAAGTATACCGTCACCGTAGAAGAACTGCAGGTCGATGGGGTACGTGTTGGGGTCGTTGGGGTAGTTGAAGAACAGAGGATTGAGAGCCGGGGTGCCGGTCTGGTTCTGTTTGTAGATGGCGGTATACATGTAGTCGACTGCATATCGTCAGTTCTAACTTTCCTTGTCGGAGAGGAGACTGCGTGTATCACTTACGAAGCTGGTATCTGATGGCGATTCCTTTGCGTGCGGCCTCAGCGACTGTCGGCCAGCGGTAGAACTCCTGGGGATTCGCGAAGATTTCGGCGTGGTTGCGGAAGAATGTGTAGAAGGAGCCAAGAGCTGCCCATCTGTTGATCTGTGTTAGCCAGAGCCGCCTGCATGGAGGGAGATTCAGTGCTTACCTAGCACAGAGCGTCTCCGTTACATTACCGCCGAAGCCGCAAACATCGGGTCCTACAACGGGAACTTGGTACAACGATGCGAACTGCAGGATCTGGCTGATGGAGAGGCGGTACCAAGGCCACCCGGAAATATTGTCTGCGGAGTATTTAGCATGGGGTCGTTGTTAATATTGAATGGGCAGACGCCAGAAGGATTCTTACCACCAAGCCAGTGGGACACGTCCTTGCCGGAGCCAGCAAATGTGCTTCTCGTAATTACCAAAGCGCGGTCATCCGGGCGACGGGCACGCATGGCATTGTGGGAGTGCGAGGACATCATAGCACCATAAAGATTGTGTGTATCATATTGAACGTATCCGCCACTCTGCACCAGATCGGTATCGGCAGTGCTGTCAGCAAGCGTGGGCCCCGCACCATTCTGAATCATGAACGGCGGCCTGATAAACTCGCGATTTGGAAGGCCCTTGCACTCGTCAGGTCCACATCCAGAGCCAGTTTGTCTGCCGTGCTGCCAGCTGTCAGTCGAGGGAGCCCAGTGGGGCTTGGCGGAGCGCCAATGACCAGCGCCGAGGTTACGGCGTGAAAGGGACCGAGGTTGACGAGGTTCGACAACAGCAGTCGCGCGCTTCTCCTTTGCGTTACCGGAAGCAAAGTTTGGCTGAAGACTGTCCGGGAACCCAGGGATAGGAGCATCTGGCCCATCTCGGACTGGTGGCGGCGCCGGTGGGTCCCCATCCACCTCCGCGAAATTCTCCGGGGTGGTGTTGTTGCCCGGGTAGGGGCGGTTGTAGAAGTTTGCGGGCTCGTTCATGTCGATCCATAACGCGTCAATGTCCGGACCATTCGTTCCGTCGAAGAACTCCAAAAATTGCTCATTCCAGTACTGCTGCGATTCGGGATGGAACCAGTCAGGGAAGTGGCTCGGACCGGCCCAAACGACTCCCTGGTATTCGGAGCCATTCTTTTCCTTCATGAAAGTACCATATTTGAGACCTGCATCGAGCGCCGGGTTGGACTCCTTGTAGAATACGGCGGGATCGACCATGACTATGTAATGCTGATCCCTCGAATGGATTGTGTCCACCAGGTCTTTGTACAGATTGGCCGGGAACCTTTCTGGATCAATGGTGAAGACGCGCCGACGGTCCATGTAATCGATATCCGTCCAGATGGTCTCCAGAGGAATGTTGCTGGAGGAGTAGTTGGCGGTGACAGCGGCGACCTCGTAGACGTCTTGGTAGCCATATTTGCACTGGTGGAAACCAAGTCCCCAGTAAGGAGTCATCAACGGGAGCTGAGCGATTTCCGCGTACTGAATGGCCACATCACGCGGGGAGGGGCCAGCAATGAAGTAGAAATCAAGAACACCGCCGATGATGTTGTACTCGAGGTACTGACCACCCTTGTTGTCGATGAAGATATCCATGCCGTTGGAGTTGAGTAGGAAAACTCCGTGAGTGCCATCCTTCCTGTGATCAAAATAGATTGGGTGAGCACCGTATAGGTTCTCGCCCTGAGGTGTCCCGTAGGCATCGCGGGTGTAGATCGTCCGAGTATAGTTGGTCGTGTTAAGCATGAAAGAGTCGCTGTGCTCGCCCAGTCCGTACAGATGCGGGTTCTGTGGCAGGTGTGTCTTGAGATAGACATATTGACTCTCGAACACCAGCTTGTTGCCCGTGGTATCGAAGAGCACCTCGCCGGTATCAGTCCGAGATACGGTGAATGAGAAGGGGTCGGCATTGAAGTCGAATTTGAGGTTAGAGTCCTTCGGGGAACACCATTGGCCGAAGCCGGGGCGCGGGAAGACACTGTCTGGAACCTGGTAGACCGTGTTGTTCGTGTCCAAGATCTTGACGTGGAGTCGATCGCTGGTCTGATATTCCACCTCCAGCTTCAAGTCTGGAAGGTCAGTCCCGAAAACATTGCATGCCGGTCCTGCGAGAGAAAGTTCCGCGTAAAAGCCAGAACGAGTCTCCCACTGCTTTGTCGCCTTGTATCCTGGACATTCGGACAGGTCCTTTTCGTAGAGGTCATTGCCGGGGCGAGCGAGATCCTCGATACCAGCCTGGCTCTGGGCCCAGGCGCAGCCACTCAGGGCTGCAGCCGAGGCGAGCAGATTCTTGATGTACATACTGATGCCTTGGATAGTGAGCAAGATCAGGTACGCATACGGCCCTTATATACTTGTCTCGGTTTTCAAGGTTCCATTCCAAGGTTTGCCAAGATGGACCCTGTAGTCAGTGCGGAGACTACAGCATTCCCCAATTCCGAGATCCCCATCCCCGAGTACGGTATTTTATTTCAACCGTCCAACTCTAAAGTGGAAGCAGTTCATTGTTTTGTCGGTCTTGAGGCAACTTTCTGATCAATGTCGTCGAGATCCTAGTGCGCTACTTTGCCCCGGCATTCGCAGTATATACATAGGTTTCACCTGCCGATCAAAACAAAACAGCAACATAAACCCCGCTCAAGCTGAAAGCCGATGATCGCCCGTCCTTCACATTTGCCGAGTGCTCCGGTGAAAGTTAAAGAAAATGATGGGATCACCCGTCCTCACATCTGCCGAGTGCTACGGTGAAGGTCCAAGATAATGATGCGATCACCCGTCCTTCGCATTTGCCGAGTGCTCCGGTAAAAGCCCGAGAAATGATGCGGTCAACTCCACTCCAAAGACACACTTTCAACAAGTCCGGCAAATGTCCGTAATTGTGGGGCTCCATGGGGCTCCCCACACGTTGTTTGAATGTCTTCTCCAGAGTATAGTTCGATGATCTCAGCTTCCCCGAGCTCTTCATAGCCGGGGGTACGGGAGGCATAATCAACGAACAATCAGCTCTTTGATTTGTGCAGTAAGACACGGTCACCCAGCCTTGTGGAAGGTATCATCCAAGAATGAATGGAATGTGACCTCGACTCCACTGAGAGGCACGTTCTTGCGCTTACTGCCTTCAGGGTCTCGATCGTTAGTCTCTCCGACAATTCTCCTGACTAAAGTAGCCGAAGTGCGTCGGTAAAGCCGTGATGACAATTGGTGTTCTAGAGATGGCAATTGTTGGGTAAAAGTGGCTAGACGCGGCACAAACGGGAGCTCGGGTGAGGACGCGGACACCAAACCCGAAGGGGATGGAATGGCGGAGATAGGCGGTCAGGGGTGGCAGAGCGAGCAATAGTTTGTGGCAGCTTGCCGTGTGGAATACTCAATTAAAGTAGTAGACGGCGAGCGGGCTGCAAGAATCGGCCGCGAGTGAGCCCGTTTTAGGCCGTCGATATGCCAGTATTTTGCCACGGAACCATGAACCCAATAAAATAAACTACTAGTGGATATCTGTCAAAAAGCAAGCTTTGATTCCAACTTTGTAACAATACAGGTAGTGATAATGCTCAGGCTTCCAGAAAGACATAGCGGCAGCACGCAGCGAGATCCTCAGCTGTGAATGTAATATTTCTTTCCCTCGTGTTAGGGGCCGGCCGGCGGCGCATGACGGATTCGAAATCTAGTTCCAGCGGAGCATTCTGAACATCTGTTGGGGCAATGACGATCTCTTTGGCCGCTAGATGAGGTCGTAGCACTGTTCGGGAGTCTAATTGAGATGGCGGGGGCGGAGGCACAGATAGCAGAGCGCGTCGGACATCTGCCTGTAGTCCACGCGTGATTCTGGGGGTGATAGGTTCGAGATGGTAGAGTTTTATAACGACTCTACGCTCAGGGGATCTCTGGATGTGAAATAGCATGACTATGTTGACTTGGTGGTCGGAGTTTGAGAACCACCAATGTGCATCAGCTCGTAGTTGTGCTTCTGATTCAGAAAGACCAGTTTCAATAACGAGCGAAGGCCAGTCATCATCTTCAGAAGGATTCCCTAACGGAGTGAGAGACTCGTCAGCTTCTTTGTCGCATGTTCTTCCATTATACCGGGAGGCGCTGTTCATAGTGTAATCGTCCGGATCAATCCCCATATTGAGTAACTTCGCGACGAGTTTGTTTGAAAATGACCGCGTGACTCGCTTGTGAGCTTTTGAGGGCATTATTCGAATAACCCCTTGCTGGCGCTGTGCGTCGAGTGTCAATCTGTAGGGAACCTCAAGGGGGTTTCGATCTCCACCTAATACCTCCTGTAGAGGTTGGGATATGTTTAACACGATGATAAACTGGTTCGAGTAAGACGTGTTAGAGTTAATCTGTCGGCATACATCGTTTGCGGTTTGTCGAAGGACAGAAATTGAGGGGGCAGACAACACCACAGCACCCGGGATTTCGAATGGCAGGTGCGAATAACAGACCCCGGCTGCTTCCAGTTGCGAGGCTCGAGACGCAACATCTGATTCCGACCTGTCGATAGACTTCGCCGAGTCGTTTGCAGCTAGGGGGGAGGAAGCTGTGGATAACGGCAGAGATAGCATGTTGACTGAACGGGGGCGTGTGGGGAAGGGGAGGCAGAAGAAGTGAAGCAAGAAGACTACTACTGATGGAGGGACCGTTATCGATAAGAGAGACAACAAGCATGCGACAAGAGCACTATCATGTGACGCAAGTCTACGGCAGGCGGTCAGCAGGCGGTAGGAGGGTGGGGACGGACCCGCTTGCCGTTGTGTAGGATACTGTATATAACTAGAAACAAAAGGGCAATTCCAGATACATATACAATTGGAAAGGTAGAAGAGTCTCTTGGGGCAGGGTTTCCCAAGTCTCGGAGCACAGCTCCATTCTGTTCTTCATAAATGAACTTTATCGTACGGGAAACAGAGAGTACGGCAACAGCGGATTAGCTACAAAGACACAAGACTACCCAGTTATGTCACAGCAGCCGAACCTGCTTGTAGATGTACTCTCTCTTTTGCGCAGAGGCATCCGCCCCTCTTTTGCAACGGCTCTCCCTCCACTTTGGTAGTAGCCATGGTAATGGCGGAGTTGGTCATGATTACAAAGTTGGGGGTGGTACCTAGAGCAGTTCGTAGACTCGATCCCAAAATACGAAGTCAACAGATTCTACAATCAGGCTTAGGACTTGACAAATGCGGTCTTCGAATCGGCCCTGCACGCCTGTTGAGAACAAGGACGAACAGCGGATCACCCCTGCTGCGTAGGGGAAAGGGAAAAAGGAATACGCCTTAGAGCATTTCTCGCAGAGCATCTGATATGTAATCATCTCGCTCCAATAGCCATAAGTTTACCACTGTAGTCCCACGGGATTGATCAAGAAGCCACACAATCTCACGTTTGATTTCCTCGCGCACCATTTAAGTCAAAGATTAATGGTATACTTTTGCCACTTCTTGCATCTCGGGGAATAAGGGGAGAAACAGGACAGGCGATGTCGTATGCGAGGTAAACGAGTTGGATGGGTAGCCCCAATATTCCTGGTCATAAGGATCTGGTCGCCCTCGAACGTATTGCTTGCCGATTTCTTTGTAGGTCTATCCGAGTAAGAGCCCAACTTGTCGCTCTCGTATCGCGCTGAGACACAACATGGCCTTTTCTGTTCCTTTTTCCAGATCTGACCAGCGATCTGTCCAAGCAGCTTGCTCTGTTCGGCAATCGGTTGGAGCAGCTCGGTGATTGTTGGCCCGTCCTCCCTCTTTTCGCAAGAAGCTCGCATACAGAGCGAGCTTCTAGTCGTGTCAGGACTTCTTTGTCCGTGACAACCTTGCTGGGAATTCTCCGACGCAAAAGTCACTGGTGATCGTGGAGGTTGTCAGGAGCAGATTGGGTTGGGGTTGCTCAGGTCCATGTCGGAATGCTACCCTCGCAATCGAGATTGAAACAAGGCCAGGAGATATGACTGGACTCCTAAGATGAAATGAAATGAGAGGAAGTGAAGGTGAAGGAAGTCGCATAAGGAACTAAACCTAATTGGGTGGCCCGCTCAGGACCTATACACGTCGAGAAATGTGAGATATATATGTACATATGAGAGATACTATGATCTGTTTCTGATCTATGCTTGGATGTCTTCCTATGCGCCTTCCGGGATGTCATCGTAGATGTATTTTCGAATATCTTGCTGGACGTAGGATCATGATGACACTATCGATATTGAAATTGGGCTCGAGATATGGAAACCTATGGAAACCTCTAGTTGGATCTACAACATATGTAGTATACTAGGACATAACTTTGATGATGGTTCCTACTTGGCCCTGTGTGGATACATCAAATATCCATATTGCTCCCGATGGACTTGGCTATCAGTTGTCTATATGAAGGTTTCTTCAGGGATACGTGTGATGGTATGTATCCCTTGGCCTATTATCAGAAATGACAGTTTGCACCCCAGACTAGCGTGTGTCTGCACATTATGAGCTGTCTGGACAAGCCCATAGCGATATTGTTGGGCTGCATGTTGAAGATGCAAGCTTCAACCACAGACTGGCTCAACCCAAACCCAATGAGTATAAAGTGAGAAAGGCCTACTGCCCTACTGCATACAACTACTGCTCAAAGAACAATCTGGCTGGCAAATGGCCCGTGGACTTCGCTATTTTGTGTCCCTCTCCATGATAAATACATCCAGAGCGTTGCGGAGATGTCTCTCGCACAAACGAACCTTCTTTAATCGCCAAGCACAGAGGGAAAAGTTTTAAAAGAAACCCATTGGAATTGTCGAACAAAAATCATGCATCATCCATAACCTAGTACTTCTTGCCCTGGCGGAGGACATCACCGAACTCCTCCAGAGGGCTGCGGATGAGCTTGTTCTCGGCCCACAGGTTGGGGGTAAGGAAACCGTAGGTGTTGACGACAGCGACGAAGGTAGCCTTGAGGGTGTTCTCGAGGGTCTTGGTGGAGCCGGAAGAGGAGGTGTAAGCGTCCTGGACACCGGCGAGCTGGAGCAGACGCTTGACAGCGGGGGAAGCGACAAGGCCGGTACCGCGAGGGGCGGGAATGAGCTATATTCAATTAGAAACAGTCCCTTCGGATTACTGGCCCAAAAAAAAGGACCAAGATCAGATATGAACCAATGTATAAAACTTACACGGACGGAGACGGAACCACACTTTCCACTCTGCTTGACGGGCAGAGAGTGAGGCTCACCAAGGTTGGTACCCCAGTAACCGCGGCGGACGGGGAGGACAGCGAGCTTGGCGATGGTGATAGCGGCACGGATGGCGGTGGCGACTTCCTTGGAGGTCTTGATTCCGAGACCGATGTGGCCCTCGGAGTCACCGATGAGGACAATGGCCTTGAAACGGGTACGCTGACCGGCACGGGTCTGCTTCTGGACGGGCTTGATCTGTAGGTTGAAATTGACGTTAGTTTCTGGTCTGATTTTGATGTATTCGTTTTTCGCTCGAGCTTCCACTGCGCAATTACATCTAATTGTCGCATTCCAGTCGAGTCCCGCTCAATCCTCCAATTTCAAAAAGAGTGTGTCGATTCGTACCTTCATAACCTCATCCTTGAGCTTGGGCAGGAAGAAGTCGACAATCTGGTACTCCTTGACGGGCAGAGAGTGGAGGTAGATCTGCTCCATGGAAGTGATCTTGCCGGCCTTGACGAGACGGCCGAGCTTGGTGACGGGCTGCCACTCCTTCTCCTCCTGCTTAGGGCCACGACGGCCGCGACGGCCACCACGGCCACGTCCACGCTCACCACCACGGTCGCCGCGCGAACCGAAACCACCACGTCCACGGGGAGCAGCGTCAGCCATCTTGATGTTGTTATGGGAAGCGACGGGAGGGTTGTCGGGATTGAGTTGGTCGTCGAGATTCACTGCACTGAGCACTGTTTGCCCGAAATTTGCGCGGGTGGGCTAAGCGAGCGGGCAGCCCTAGTGGAGACCCTATGCCCTAAATTCCGGATCGGGATTGTGGCACGTGCACTTAAGGTTTCCAGGGCGGTGTCACCTGACGGGGTCCAGAAGTAGATCGATTGATCGTCGTTGTTTAGAGGGGCATTGGCGCTGTAGAAAGGAGTAGTAAATTTATTTTATGGTAATGTTGAAGTCATTAGCTATATATAGTAGTATTCGCACTACATCATGTTCTTATACAAAATCAAGTTTTTGTGATGTTGTTATTCTCCCTCCTACGTCACTACAAAATTTGGTGCAGGCGGATGCACTTCCTATTTGGGCAACGCGATAGGGAAATCTCGACTCCGCAATTTCAAGATTGTTCCCCGAGTCGCCCCCATTTCAATAGTATTTCAGGGTTTCTCGTCTACTTTTTTATTCATTCTTTGCATTCTTCTCTGCATGTTTCATCTTTCATAGTTACTCAATCGCAGTTATGTTGCGCTGGTAAGTCTCCCTTGCTACTTATCTCCTTGAATCGAAGCTCAAAATACTCTTCAACCAGGTACCAGTCCAAGTTGGCAAAGAGGCCCATCCTCACCGCAAGCATCACCAGTGCCGTACAATCCTCTCCTTTGCCCTTCGCCTGGACCAGGTCCTGATCCTTGTTACAACAGTTCCTATTTGGCAGCGGTGATGTTCTAGCACAGCAAGCTGTTGACCGGAAAGGCCTCCAAAAGCACGACTTTGCCCGCACTGGACGAATGGCTCTATACGGTGGAGGTATGTTTATACGTCTCAAGCCTCTTGTGCATCGCTGATCTATATATTCTCCATTCAGCTGTCTTCGGTCCAGCTGCCACTACCTGGTTTGGCATGCTCCAGCGCCATGTCGTTCTCAAGGGCACCGCGTCCACCACCGCCGCTCGTGTTGCCGCCGATCAAATCTTCTTTGCCCCAGCCCAGCTCACCTGTTTTCTATCCTCGATGGCTATCATGGAAGGCGTTGATCCTGTGGAAAGGTGGAAGACTGCCTTTATTCCCGCCTATAAGGCCAACCTGATGGTCTGGCCGTTTGTACAGGGTGTCAACTTTACATTTGTCCCCCTAGAGCTGCGCTTGCTATTTGTCAACGTTATCAGTTTGGGTGAGTACTTTGCTTCCAAGTGTTGCTGATTATACCCCTTCAGCCACTAACAACTAAATAGGGTGGAACTGTTTCCTTAGCTTGATGAACAGCGGCGAGGAGTTATAATTCCGAGGCATTATTTGAGATACCCTTGAAGTTTTCGTTGCTAGCTGTTCTATGGCCTTTCACGTTGGCGCTCCATTATATAGGATTTTTTGGGCTGTTGGTTATTTGGTCCTCGGGCATTAGGTTCGAGAAGATTTTTATTCTGTATTTTCGGTCATGTAGAATTGTAGCATAAATCCATAAATCTAAGTCAAAATATTCTTGAATAAAAAAACGAATCAAATGATACAAGAAGTAGAAATAAGAGCAAAATGAATATCGGATATATAGTTAGGTGTGATATTGATTTTATTACGGAAGAACCCAAAGAGGCAAGGCAAGTTTTTGTGGCCGAACTTCAAAACTTCCACTCTTTGCAGTCAATTGTCGCCCACCTCCACTCGCATCTCACACTGCCTGGAGCAGACTATTACTGCTAACTCGAATCCAGGCTCGGATTCCTCTTACCTTCTTTGTGTGAAAAGCCGCGATTTGCGCTTTCCCTGAAATTCTCGCCCCTCCAACTTTCCGAACTCGATAGTCTCCCCTCCCATCCACATCCATTTACTATGGCTGCCGTCGCAGAGAATGGTACTCCGGCTGTGGCCGATGAGAACTCCGCACCTATCACCGAGACTCAGACTGGTGACGCCGTTACTGTCTTCCACAACCCCGATGACTTCAACGTGAAGCACCCTCTTATGCACGAATGGACTCTGTGGTTCACCAAGCCCCCCAGTGGCAAGGTAGGAGACACCAGTTGCATAGGTCGACATCATGCTTACTAAGGGAACATAGGGCGATAACTGGAATGACCTGCTTAAGGAGGTGGTTACCTTCAGCTCCGTCGAAGAATTCTGGGGCATTTATGTATGTCCAATCCGAAGGCTTCCCCGATCAACGATTATACTAACCCCGATCGCTATCAGAACAACATCACGCCGACCTCCGAACTTGGCCTCAAGGCCGACTACCACCTCTTCAAGAAGGGCGTACGACCTGAGTGGGAGGACCCCCAAAACAAGCACGGTGGAAAGTGGTCATACCAGTTCAAGGACAAGCGCTCCGTCCCCATCGACGAACTCTGGCTGCACGCGCAGCTGGCTGCGATCGGCGAGACCCTCGAGAACGACGACGACAACGAAGTGATGGGAGTGGTTGTGAATGTGCGCAAGGGCTTCTACCGTGTTGGTCTATGGACACGCACAGTCGGCAAGAGCATTCAGGGCGATAAGCACACCCGCACACAGGCGCAGGGTAAGGAGATCCTCGAGGCGATTGGCCAACGGTTCAAGGACGTGCTGCGGCTCAACTTGGCGGATGTAGTGGAGTTCTCCGGCCACACCGACAGCGCACACAGCGGCAGCACGCGCGCGAAGGCCAAGTACACCGTTTAAGGGGGTTGGCCGAGACGGTGATGTGCAGATGAGGATGAAAAACGAAAACAGGGGACGGATGGCGATGCGCAGATTTCACGATTACGGACGACACGAATCGAGGGGAATTGACTCGACTCGACGTGCGGCGCTGGAAACTGGGGGTGATTCACATAGGGACCGAGGTCCCCCTCTTTATGCCCGCCCCGCTGCATAGTTCTGCAGGGACGACCTGATTGCTTGCGACTTGTATCTTACTCTACCAAACACATTCTACGAGGCTTATGCCGTGGTCGAGGTCGAGGTCGTGCCGGTATGATGGTATTTTCCTTACATTATTCTATACAAATATGACCTGTTCATGGATGCATTCAATTTTTGGTGTTATGCTCGGAGCTGCTGGTTTTCAACGTCGCTTATGATGGGAGGTCTCAGTACATCAGTAGGCGTAGCTCAGCAGCCTAAGTGTCTGAGCCTTGTCTCATAGGTCTTTGTTTCTTGTCTCATCTGATCAGGGTCGCGAGTTGGAAGGCTTTCATGGCTTCTAATGGCACTTCCTGCAATGTATAGCCACAGACACGTTAGTAGCATGTTGTAGGGCTGTTGTCCCGAGTGAGCGCTCAGGGCTATTTTAGCCCAAGGCGAACCCTAGAACTGAAGCCCCACCACAACGACTGAGACCGGGATTCACTGCGATTGAACTCAGCCCTTATGCCGGGCGCAAGTCGCTGACTATGTAAGTTTCGCCGGAAGTTCGCGCAATCACAGCCGATAATGACGGGCTTCTTACGAGAGTCTCAACAGATCCAGAAGAGAATGAGACATTCTTTGTTAGATATATTCCCTTCTCACTCTGTTAATCGCTCGTAGATTACTCTACAATCTCCCTCTCTCAACTTCAAGAGCTCGAGCAGCTTAGACCAAGTGGCGATCTCTTATCCCATAAAGACTAGAGGGTCGCATTCGCATTCAACCCTTTGGCATGCCTCGAAGATTACATTCCTATGGTGTTATAGATACTATATAAAGCATTTGCCTAGATATTTTGCCCGTTGGAGCCCACCAGGACTTGGATCCATGATGGGTTTCATCGGGGTCTAGTTGAGGTCTCTAAGGTATATTTACAACTAGAATCTGAGGACCTGTGAAATTGACGCCGAAAATGACCGCTTTGGAGGCCAGAAACGGCGCCCCCAAAACACATAGTAAATGCGATAGATTACAACTTGATATCTCAACAACGGTAGTCTATATGGAGTTTTCCTACTGGCTTAATGCTTTTTAGGTGATATCTAGCTTCTCTAGGGAG